GTCGGCCGGGGCGGCTGCCGTCGAGCTGGAGGGTGGAGTCGCACTGGCTGCCTCCTCTCAGCAGGGAAGAGTTGTTGTGTGAGACTGGGGCGGGCGGCCCGAGGCTTTTATACGCTCCGGGCGGCCGCGGCTCGCCAATGAGCTGAATGGAGTCCTACACAAACAGGGACATTCCTCGCATTCCTCCCCACCTTCCTGCCTCATCAACTCACACCGGATTGATCCTGACCCCTTGACACTCAGCATTCCTCCGTCTGAAAAAGCTGGCACACTCCAACTCACCAAAAAAAAAAAAAAAAAAAAGAAAGAAAGAAAGAAAAAAAAAAGCGCAGTATTTCCAGCACCAAATAGAATTTTTTTACCCTATCCTCTTCGCACCACTCTTGATTCATATCATTTAAAAACACACTGGCAATCATTTCTTATATCATTTCTTTTTCGAATAAATGTGCCCTGTTCTATCCACTGACATACATCCTTTTTAGGAAGTAGGTAGCTGAAGAGGCAAACAGCAGGAATTCCTAAAAAATTCGAAAAGATTTCTCCCCCCTCCTTAGCAATGATTCCGTTTTAGACGCTATAGGCTCTTGAAACTCTCCAAAGAGCAGAAAAGGAGTGAGTTGCTTTTGACCATTTGAAATCCTCAAGATGCCTACCTGTAAAACCCTGAATTCTATATTTGAGATTTGATCCTTTGTCAGTTGAGGTAACGGGTTTGGGACAAAAAAGAGAACAAAGCCGGGGGTCTGACTCAGGATGCAGTCTCCTGGAGCAGATTTCCAGAACTCTTGCTTAGTTTTCTCTTAATATATGTAGGAGTTTTATATAGGGAAGGACAAGGGACGAGTGGCCATGAATGTTTCCAGAAAAATGGATCCATTGTTCTACCAGAGCAAATGATTCTTTGTTGGGTAGGTAGGGGCTCTGAGTGTCAGGGTGGGAACACTGGGATTCAAAGGGGGTTCACCTTGGGGCATTTAAACACAGCTTCACTAGGGTCTTTGAGAAATGAGTGCATTTTCTTATATTAAAACCTATAATCTTCAAATGTGGATTGGATTTGGTTTGTCTTGTTAAAATAAGAGCCTCATTCCATAACAAGAGCAGTGTACCCCGTTGTATGTGGATATAAACTAAGACTGACAGTGAATAATATATTTTTAGTGACTCCCCACACATCTATGAATAGTGATTATGACTTCTCATTACTTGACTTCTCATTACCCAAGGAGCGTGCAGCCTGAGGGAGTGAAGTCAGGACAAGGAAAGAATAGGTTTTATTCTCCCTTGGTGAGTGCAGATGTCGAATATGGCCAATAAACCTAAGCATATCTCCATTTCTTAATATAGTGCTACTTAGCTTCACTAAGGACCCAATTAGTTCACTGTGCTTTCATTTGGAATCTATGTTGTTTAGTGGCTTTTTATTAATAACTCCAGTTCCCATTTTATATAAAGAGAGTGATTCTAGGGCCATACCATTTTCGTATTCTGTGATACTGCATCATTTGACATTGGTGTTACCAATGAGTAGATTCCTTTAAGTTGTTGATGCTTCAGAGCATGAGTTCAAGATAAGCATATCTGTTTCTGGTGCAAAGATCAGCTTTAGAAACAACGTATTATAGATTTATCATTTGAAAACAGCCTGTTTAAGCTGATCAAATTTTTAAAGTTTTAGTACATTCTATTGAAAAATAGCCAAGAAGAAATATAACCACTCCAACTTCAGCACAGAGCATATCGTCTGTGCACAGTTACCTCATTAAGCCAGACACATGTTGTACAGTGTAGTTGCATGTCAGTAGTGTGAATGGCCAGCAAAGGGGCGGGGGTGCCCTCTGAAGCTCAGGAAGAATTTTCATCATTGTTATTTAATGTCCTTTCCAAGCATTCCTCAAAAAGAAGAGGCCTAAGAGTTCCTATTTAAAGAAGGAACATTCCAAGTTAACTTAATAGCCACATGTGTATTAAAGGCAACTTGGCCCTCAACTTTTTCTTCCCTTGTGGATGATTTTAAAAGTCCAAAATATGTGGGAAGCCACAGTGAAACCTTTCAAGACCTAAACCCCCAATTACATCTACCACTAATGGTTGGAAAGGTGTGGTGGCTGGGGAAGGGTAGGGATGTGCAGTACAAGTCTCACCTAAGGTGGGATGTGGGCTTGGTGGTGAGCTCGCCTAACTTGCAGAATGAGGTAGATGGGAGAAGGGTTGGGGAATTTCTGAATCTTCAGGAAAGTCTGAAAGCTACCACCAACATCTTCACTTATGTAGCAGGAAGACTCATTCATGGAGGGGATAAATTGTTGTACTGGGTTATAGTTGGATGACCTAGGTTGTATTCTTGGAACTGCCTTTCACAGATCTCAGGGAAGTCGCACGTAGGAGCCATATTTCCGTTTCCATTAAAAAAATGGAGGTAATCATAATTTTTTTAATTTAATAGAGTTCAGTGAGAGCTGAGTAGATAAAAATTCTCAGGGAATTGGTGCTTTATTGTTTTGTCTTTCTTGATTTTTTTTTTCATTGTCTGTGTATAGTAAGTATATTACCATTCTGCTCTGTTGTTAAAAATGTCAAGAGAAAGAATTTGGTTTTACTAGAAAATTCTCATAGTCCTTCGAAGTCTCAAAAAAATCTATAGTCAGTTCCCAATAGATGATTTTAATGTTGCTTAAGAGAAAATAAGCATATTGAAATATACAGAACTTATGAAATCTCGGGATAGAAAAAGGTTCTGTGCATTATCAGGTTAGGTTGAGGCTTTATGATCGAATCTCTTTTTGAAGGAGTTAAAATAAAAGATTATTATTAAGAAAGTGACACAGAGACAGACAGACACACACAGGCACACACACCCAGAGAGAGAGAGAATGTGAGAAGACACCCAAGACATTCACAGACTCAGAAGTATGTTTTTATTGTGATATGGACCATCCAATGCCAGGAAACTCAAAGGGAAAGGCTGACACTCCATCCTTAATTCATGCCATGGGATCTGAATTCTTGCACTATTATAAATGACTCAGCAAATGTTTGCGTGTGCCTGGGCGGTAAAGTGGGAAATAGTGGCTTCTTATAACTTCGTCCAACTTTGACTTACCTCAGTCCTTTTGATTGACAGCAGGTCAGAGTTGGGAGAAAAAGGTCTTTGAATTTGTGTGCAAAATGGTTAAGATGCACCAATTTTGACTTGTAAGCAAGTATTTATCTAGCAAATGCTTTTTAGAGAGCATTTTTTTCCTCGTGGTAAAATGAGGAATTAACTAAGCTGGCCTCTGAGTCCTGTTTACCAAGCTATATAAGGTATGTGTATGTGTCTGCTAGGGCATCATTTGTACCGGTCGTTTGGTTAAGTCTTGTAAGATGTTCAGCTGTGGATGTACTACATTCCTTCTCTTATGTTTTTTGTTGTTTTTTCCTCCCTAAAAAAAAAAGTTTCTTGATCAGGTATCAGTCACAGAGAAAACCTGGCAGGACTACAGAAAAGTGGCCAGGGTTGGAGTGTTTGTGTACTTAAAGAAGGAATCTTGCACATTTTCAACTTTTAGTTGTAGACATTTTCTTATAAGAGCAAGTAGGAGTTAGTGCCAGCCCTCAAAGCGGAAATCAAAGCTCCCAGGGAAACATACCGGAGGAATGTGACTCAGAGCCAAGACCCATACGCAATGCACACACGGAGCTGTCAGACTTATAGGAAGTCTGGCCGTATATGGGCATCTGGACAGTGAGCAATTTGTCCTTATGGTGGGTCGGGAGAGGTTTCCGATGTTTCTAGCATGCCTCGAATTCAATAATGTAAATTAATCCTACCAAAAAAAAAAAAAAAAGGTATCCCAGAAGCTTTTTGTAAAATAGTAATAAATATTATTCTGAAATCTTCAGGGACCCTGGTTTGGCTTACATGACCTCCTGTTTGCTTAAGATGAGGGTTAAGGAGAGGGCGTACTCGCTGGGAGTTCATGGGGGGGAAGACAAATGCGGATGTTTACTATCTAAATTACATTCATTACCTTCATGCCTTTTCCTCCTTATAATTAGTTCTCTGACTTTCTTAGGACATTTTCTAACACAAAGGTATTTGTCAGAAGGCTATCAAGGCCGTTGCATGTGGTTTGTGTTTTATGTTTGCCTGTTCCTCGCTTGTGCATGGGGTTGGAGGCCAGAGGGGTGAGAAAGGAAAAGAAGTTTTGTTTTTTTAAGATGATATCCCTTCAACTTACTGTTTGTTTCACTTATTTTGTTAATTAGACTCTTAAAAAAAATAGTTTACTTAGAATCCTGCATTGCCTCTAGTCAGCTTTTGTTCATCTAAGATAGTGACAGAGGATGAGGATGCTGCTAGGTTGGAATGAGCCTGGGTAGGAATCTCAAATTCATCACGGTTTAGCAACCAGGAGTACTTACAGCCCCTTGCTTCATCAGGGCTGAATGTGAAGCATCCCCTTGGTGATACTTAAGGTGATATTTAAGTGAGTGGGAAGGAAAAACAGAGGAAATAAGCATTCCTTAAGATGTGTGATTTGGGGACACCCAATCAATAGGTTTAGGAGGAAGAGAGAACTGGGACTAGCTATCTTATCCCAAATAATAGAAGTAAGTGAAAGGATAAATATTTTGAAAGGACGAGTGTGAAATATACATGAATGTATTCCTAGGGATTCTGCTGTGGGGTGGGAAAGGGGTGCAGATTAAACCAGGCCCCATCATTCATCCTTGG